TCCGAGCGCACGGCGAAGCCTTCCTCCGCCGTAGGCGACAGCGCGACGTCCCTGGCAGCCCGGAGCGCGTCCGGCGACGCGGCCGCTGGGGAGCAGGACGGCGACGCGGAGGTAGTAACGCTCTGCCCGCGGAGCCCGCGTCCCGCTGGTAACGGGTGGGCTTAGTGACGTGTGCTGGGTGCTGGTGGAGGCTTGGCGTCTGAGAGCTGTGGGAGTCTTGGGCTGTTGTCGCGGGTGGCGTTCGCTGCTGTTCCTCCTGGATTTACAGCACCCGGACCTAGGGGTCGTGGAGGACCCGGCATCGCGCCCGTTTCCACCCAAGCTGCGGGTGGGTGAGTGAAGCACAGCAGCACGTGTGCTGACACGTGGTAGCTGTCTCTCCTTGTTGTGCTTTCCGCTTGATGATAAATGCCGTGCCGTTTGGTTTAGCTTGTCCTACACTGGAGAAGGCTGGCTAGCAGGGAGCAGTTTCCAAGTGCCAGCTCATCTTCATGTAGCAACTTGTTTTGTGTCCTGCATCAGAACGGTTTCTCCCCACTGCACAGGCAGTCACCATCCCAGAAACGTGCACTTCTTTGTGCTGTGACCGCGCTTTCTCTGCTGGCGGGCCCTGTGAGGAAGTATTTGGCAAGGTGTCCTGTAAGGGAAGGTCGCGGTTATCCTTGTTAATGCCTGCCTCTGGAGTTCTCCCCGTTCAGATTTCACTATTGGCCTCACACATGCGTGTGACAGGGCCCTGCAGCTTGCCTTCCCCAATATGGGGCCTTCTGTGCATAGTTTTCTCTCTTGTGTTTATGATGGGAATGTGGATCAAGAGAGTGCGTTTTGTACATTGGGTGTAACGATGTGATCTGCTGGATCTCTGAAGCAGAAGCTAAACTGTGAGTTTTAAATAAGTATCTACTGGTATGCAAAATTAAGCTTTTTGCATGGTGTACTGAGTAGGTGTGATTTAGAGGGAAATTCCTGCCTCACACATGAATTGTGACACCAAATATGTTTTGCTTTGAAAAACAGTTGTCGAATGATTTCGGTGGACTCCAGTTAAGGTTTTTAACTAGTAGTTTCCCTTCTGTGACTTGCCAAGTATATGCGCATGATGCGGTAAGGTCACGCGGAAGGGACAATTGTTCCCTTTTGTTTGCCTTGGGTCTAAATCATGGTGTAGGTGTATCTGAATTAGGGATGAAATCGCAGTAGTCGTGATTTTGAACAAGTTATTGCAGGTAACAACAGCAGGAGGACCTTTTGCAGGAAGTCTTTATTGAAGACTGATGTAAAAACAGGATTTGCTTGTAGGAATTCTGTCATGCTGACTTGTGCAGCCTGTGTCGGTATGTCTTGTCTTCTAGTACGGGGTGGCTGGAGGCAAGTTTCCAACTTTATGCTGTGATGACGTTTTCATTTGTGAAGTACCCACATCACAAGGGTTTTCTTTTTCTTTAAATAAGAAGGAGGTGGCTGGTAAAATTGTGGTAATAGAGCAAATGCGTAGTTTTTCTTGTGTGCCTGTGTAGGTTATATTATTTACTCACCTCTTAGGGTAAGCTGTTTTTCTTTTATCCTGTTAGGAGCTGACAGAAGAAGTGAAAGAAGGTGACTTCTCCAATTTTCCGCTCTCTGAAAACACCATCAACCTTCTCAAAGGTTAGTTAATGTAGTAAAATAAATTTTCTGTAAATGTTTGTCCAGAATTGGACTCTCTTACCTGTATAAGAAGAAACAGAAGCTAAGGGTCAGTTGTCCTAAATCCTCTTACATTTATTGTGTGTTAAGAGTATGCACAGGAGCAGTCACTGTAGATTCAAAGAATCGGCTGTTGATATTCGGAACAAAGTTTTTATTTTGTTCAATTTCGAGCACCTTAAAGTGAGTTTGTTCTTCCACGGTCTGGTTGTTCCCAGGTATACTTCCTAGACACAGGGTTTCTTTTCTCATCAGCATCATTGTACTTACTGTGTATCTTTACTTCAATTTCTGTATCTGCTCTCTACAGTATCACTTCTTAAAAAAGTGTAATGATGTTTTGTGTGTGAAGACTATTTGGCTTCTGTGAACAGATTGTCTAAGATTGTTCTCATACGTTGGGGCGTTTTCATATCTCTTCTCAATTAATTTTGTTGAGGAAGTAATCACTGTAGAGTTCTTCTGTGTTTGGAAGCTGTGTGATTCTTGCTGCTCAGACAAAATTCTCCTTGTTCCTTTATGTTTTCCTTGCTGAGAAGTTTCTCTTGGATGGACTATTTCACTTCCACTGTGCAAAATCTCTCTGGAGTTTTAAAATGTTTCGAAACAAACACTCTCATCTCCTCCTCACCTTCAGAACCAAACTACCACAACATCTTGGGCTGTATCAGAAAAAGCATGTTGGGTTTGTTTTTTTTCTCTTCCTCTTTTGTTGTCTTATGCCAAACATCACAAAGAAGGCTATATTTCACTGTGGATACTCAGCTGTGTGTTTGGCTGGGGGGATACCTTTTGATGTAAAATAGGAGTAAAAACAAAGATATGTGGTTTTCTTCAGTTGCGTCTCCTGTTGTGTACAGGATTTGACGTGATGTGCCCTACATATTCAGGCTAGTTGTATATGAGGGCTTCTCATTGTTTATTTGCCTTTTAATGAAACCTCTTTGGATTATTTTACAGCTCGAGGTGTAAAATACCTGTTCCCTGTGCAAGTGAAGACTTTTCAGCCCATATATGATGGCAAAGACCTAATTGCTCAAGCTCGAACAGGAACTGGGAAAACTTTTTCTTTTGCTGTTCCGCTGATTGAAAAACTTCAGAGTGTCTTGCAGGATGGGAGAAGAGGCCGTGCACCAAAAGTAACTTAGCACTGAAACGTTAACACCAAAACCTTAGAATATGGCAGTTTTCAAAAGTGATTTTGCAGTTGCTTTAGGGACTTTTGTTTGGGGCTTCTTTGTCTTTATTGATGTCTGTAATACTGAATGCTTTCTTCAGCTCACGAGCTACAGTGTGGCAGAGATTTTGCAGCATCACAGCGATAACATGTTTCATGATTGGGGTTCCTTGTGACTGCATTTGGGAGAATGGTCAGGGCCCTGCAGTCGTAGCTAGTGGACTTTCAGACTGCTGTCCTCGGGAAGTTAGCGTGCGGCTTTGAGGTTCACTCCCCTGCCTCTTCTGAGGTAGCGGTTGAGTCGGCTGGACTTGTCTGCACTCACGGAGGTTGTTTCTCACTATAAATTACGTGGTGGTAACTGAAAGCTGATTTTTTTTCCTTCCTCTCGTGCCTGGAGACTCAACTTAATGGATGCAAGTGGTGTTTACATCTCTGCTTAAGCGTGAGGTGGAGTTGGTGATCAGATACCTGTGATCAGATATCATACTTGCACGCAAATGAAGTGTATATATTTATCATTAGACTGAAAAATTGTTATAGTCTGCTGATCTGTTGCCTACTTCATCCTTCTATTTTATTAACTTTAAAGATGATATAAGATTTAAAATCTTGCTGACTGAAAGATTTCTAGAGAAGAATTCAGCTCTGTTTTATTGTTTTATTTTTAAAGAAAATGGAGGGGGGAAGCATAGATACTGGAGGAGCGCAGGTGGGTGGAGAAGGAGGGTATATGGCTAGAGTGCATCATGCTGTGTATCTTAAGATCTTACTACTCCAAATTGTTTAGTGACTGTTCCTATCCTTTAATGCTGAACTGCATCTTCATTGTCCTCAGTAATGTTACTGAAGTGTCTATTTTATCTGGCATTAACTTAATGAGGCTGTTTTGTGCAGGCTCCAGGTGGCAAGAAATATTGCTGGGATGGTGGGGAGCTATGAGCACCTCTTCAGGAGGCGTAGAATAAGAATGGGAGTAGAATCTGTTTGATGTGAAGCAAACACTCTTCTCCTAGCACCCTCTTCTAAGCACAGCTGCATTTTTGTCTCTTTTTCACTCCCTCCAGGTGCTGGTTCTTGTCCCAACCAGGGAACTGGCCACTCAGGTAGCCAGAGACTTCAAGAATCTCACCAGGAAGCTGTCGGTGGCTTGTTTTTATGGAGGAACTCCATATCAAGCACAGCGTAAGTGAACACTAAGGAATTATTACTGGATTAGACTTGACTTTCTCCAAATGCATTCCATGAGTAAAACTGGCTTGTTTCACTTCAGTCAGGAACCAGGACATTGCTTTCAAAGGAAGCAGGCAGTCTGGGTTGAATTATTTTAGTTCCAATAAATCTTTATTTAAAAGAATGACTGTAGGTCTGCAAAGTGGTTAGTCCTTTCAGTTTCTTCTTTATTGCATGTTTATGTGGTTTTTATGTGGACATATACTGGGACTAGGTGACTGTCCAAGTGAAAGAGAGAACTGTGTGTGTGTGGCTCTGTCTGTCTCCAGAGGTAGCTGTGAAAAAGAATTTAGCTGAAAAACTAAAGCATTTTTCTGTAATAAAGCTCTGGAGATTTCTAATGCCAGCTGTCTGCTGATTGGAAATTCGTGTATCTTACTGTAACTTTGCTTGTGGATTAGCTGGCATTCCTTACAGAGCAACTAGGACCACGTTAAGCTTATTTGCTTGTGGCTTAGCTGGCATTCCTGACAGAGCAACTAGGACCACGTTAAGCTTACTTGTTTGTTACCCGGACTGGAATAGTGCTTTATTCAGAAATTAAAGTGAAGGGCAGTAGCTTTTTGGTTCTAAAATTAGAAGTGTTGCTGTGTACTGGTAACTTTTTGCCTTATTGTCTCTAGCATTCTGACAGTGTCCTGGTTTTTCTTGCTTCCAGTTGATCTCCTTAGAAGTGGCATTGATATTCTAGTGGGAACTCCTGGACGGATCAAAGACCACATTCAGAATAGCAAGCTGGAACTTTCCAGCGTGAAGCATGTTGTTTTGGATGAAGTTGATCACATGTTAGACATGGGCTTTGCTGAACAAGTGGAAGAAATCTTAGGATTTGCTTATAAAAAAGGTAAATTCTAAACAGTGGGAGAAGAACACAGTTTTGCTGCTTTGAAAACTGCTGGTGCACCCCCAACTTGAATCCTTCATGCGATGCTAGTATCGGACCTCAGAGAAAAGAGTGAGGTAGCGCTGGAAAAGGTTCAAAGCAAGGTGACAGATGGCTGAAGGGCTGGAATAGCATCTCTGGAAGGGGGCAGGGGGTGAGTGGGGGAAAAGCAAAAAAGCAGCAAACCCAGCTCAACTCCCTTATCCCTGGTGTTCTTCACCCTGAGAAAGGTGACAGCATAGGGTTAGGGTTGTGGTGTGCCTGTACACTCGTCATCACACTAAATTGACACCTAGGGAATACTTGCTCTTTTCTGGTGCAGTGGGCATTCAGCAAAGCCACCAGATAGCAGGTACAGAGAAGAAGGAGATTACTTTAATAGTGTGAAATTCCTTGCCACATTGTACTAATGCCAAAAGTTTTGAAAAGTGACTTAATGAATTACTGGAAGTAGAAATATCAGGGAATACTAAAAGCAAAGTTACCACTTCTGGCTCTGGAAGCCATGAAAAGCTGGTTGCTGACAGAGTTTCTTCATGTCTTCATTAACTACACTTGGCTGCTGTTGGAGCGAGGACATGAGCTTCATGGACCTTTGGTTTGACCCAGTACAGCCACTGTCATTTTTACTTGACTTTTACATTCTCCCCATTTCTGCAGAGTTGGTCTCTGTCCTGAGACCCAAAAAGTACAGATAATCTTCTGAAAAAGGAAGTCTGTGTAGGCTTTGAGAGAGTTGTCATAATTATTTAATAAATTGTAGGGGATAATAAGCGTTGTTTTGTGATGTGTGTTTCTTTCTGTCTGATCCTATGGAGCTATGAAGATAGGTTAACCTTTTTCAAGATCCTGTTTGTTAAACTGTTCTTACCTGGAGTAATCTGTCTTGTTTTATGATTCTTCCCCCAGGTCTGCAGAGTCTTTTTTAAAATCATAGAAATCATAGAAAGTTTTGGGTTGGAAGAGAACCCTAGAGGTCATCTAGTCCAACCGCCCTGCAGTGAGCAGGGACACCACTAACTAGATCAGGTGGCTCAGAGCCCTGCCTTTTACCTTTGCACATAGCCATATCGTTCACAGCTAGTTACTATTGGAATGCCAGGCAAGGAGGGGTTGGGACAAAAGTTTCGGGTATGTGGGAGGACTTCAGGAACTGTCTAAACCATTTCTAGCAGATGATCTATAAATGTGTCTTGCATTTCTTCTCAGGCAGGACGAAGGATTCAGTTTGATCCAGTTAAAATTACTGTAATTTTGCCTTCGGTGTCTAAAGGATTTAAAAAAAGTTTTCATTGCGTCTAAGTTTTCTTCTTGTAGCTAATTTACTGCACATATACACCTCTAAATTTGAGAGCAACTCTGTTGCTCACATTCTCAACAAGAATTCAAGTTCTCAACAACTTGGTTCTCAAGTTTCAGACTCTATTCTGATGACTGAAATTGATGGCCTTTCCTTCCAGGTTCTGAGAACAACCCCCAGACACTGCTGTTTTCTGCAACTTGTCCGCGATGGGTATATGATGTGGCAAAAAAATACATGAAAGATGAGTATGAACAGATTGACCTAATTGGAAAGAAGACTCAAAGGACTGCCACGACTGTGGAAGTGAGTGATTCTGCCGCAGAGCAGTGCAGGTCCTCAGAGCGTGTGGCTTGGATAAAATGGGTTCTGCATTGACTTTACCAGTGGGAGTGTGGAATGACTTTTCGCATAATTAATATAAAATTTTTTTAAGCAAAGCTTTCATATGGGTGGAGTAGTTTCCAGGCTTTAAAAAAAAAATTATTTTTTTATTAATTTTGTCTGTCCTGCGCGTGGCTTAAATTTAACATAGATGCTGATCGTGTTTCTTTCCCGAACAGCACTTGGCTATACAGTGTCGCTCATCTCAGAGAGCAGGAGTTCTTGGAGATATCATTCAAGTCTACAGTGGCAGCCATGGGCGGACCATTGTCTTTTGTGAGACCAAAAAGGAAGCAAATGAACTGGCTATGAATGCTTCGCTCAAACAGGTACTGGGATCTGAATGGAGAGCAGCAGTTACGGATATGCAGGGGTTGAATGCCCTGAAATAAATATGAGGTTGCAACTGTGTGGATGAAATTTCTGTGGGTGGTTTTAAGACTTATGAAAGCTGTTTCTAAAAGTAGAGCTTTGCAGTTGAAATAGCCTCTTGGCTGTGGTTATGAATTTAGTCCTTTGGTGTTAAAATTGTGCAGGACAGGATCAATGGAAAATACGCAGTTTATGTTGAATGACCAGGAGATGGTAAAAGTGGTAATAAACAGGAGCATTGTGTAGTGCACATATTCCATCTTGCGTTAGTGTGCTTTTCAGATTCCTTTCTCTTAATGGCATTTATTCTTTGAACAATCTGTTCAGGAAAATCCAACTAATACAGTAGAATGGGATGTCTTATTGCCTTTGAAGGTTATTTAATAGTTTCTTCAGACCTCAGGTGATACATAGAGCAGGTTTTCTGTGCTTGCTTGAATTATTACCTTTTTTTGAGCGTGGGGAGAGGTGCTGGATTTTTTCCAGAGAAAATCCTGTTTGAGACTGAATACTAATTTATGGAGAAAGAGCAGTGGTGGGAATATGTAGTTTGCCCAGTGTTTGATAAATGTAGTATACCATCCACATTAAAATCTTGCAGCAACACTTTTTGTCTGGCCCTGCTGCTTTCACAGTAAATTCAATGACTGTGTCAGTATGTGACGCAATTTTGTCTTAATGCTAGTAAGTTCTGCTTTAGAATGTAACTTGTTTGAATTCTGAGCTTGTGACTCTCCTCTTTCTCCTTGTCAAACACTTGGTCTATTTCTTGTCCCATTAAAAGTGGAGGTTGTTCAGATCACCTGTAGGGTTAGGGAATGCCCTGAAAACCTCATTTTGGCTTCTCTGTTTTTTGGGATGACTTCCGAGGGAGGGGAGCAGTCTCCTGCTAGCTTTTGACAAGCACTGCCCAAGTGAAGTTGCTTCCATTTGTTCCAGTGGAAGCGGAAGCTCAAGTGGGCCTTTTGGGCATGGCAGACTGCAAATTGTACAGTTTGCTGTTGATATGCTACAAATAATAACTTTACGGTAAAACTACTGCTTACAAGTATTATTGTCCCACAGAAGGATCAAACCACAAAGTAGCATGCTTTATATTCCTTTGGTATCAGCTATGTAATTGTTTTCTGTTGCTCTGCACAATATTTTGGGTTTTGTAATTAAATGTCTTTAGATACTGCAGCCTAGACTCCCCTGTTAAATGACATCTTAATGGTTTGTTTCACTGGCAGGATGCCCAGTCATTGCATGGTGACATTCCACAGAAACAGAGAGAAATTACATTAAAAGGCTTTAGAAATGGTGTGTTTGAAGTTCTGATTGCAACAAATGTAGCTGCCCGTGGTTTGGATATACCTGAGGTTGACCTTGTTATACAGTGTTCACCACCAAAAGTAAGTCATTAGGGGAAACTAAAATTGCAATTTATTTTTTTGTGACGGAACAGCAGGTTATTTCTCTGCTTCACCAGAAGTACATTCTGAATCACAGATTAAGTGGATTTTTTGTACTTGCGGGCCTAGAATTTCGTAGTTAAGCTTTTATATTTTGGGCTTTGAATAAAGTGAAAGTGATGGTTTTCAGTTACTCTGGAAGGATAGTTTTTGCCATTGTTTCAGCATTTCTGAATCCCTTCTGAACATTGAGTTTTGTAACAATTCTAAAATACTGCTGCTGCCTTTTTCTTCTTTTGAAACTCCAGTGGAGCTTTTTATTGAAAAAAGAAGCAAAAAACCTTAGTCAGTAGTGTTTAACCTGGGGCAGTATATGTTGGGCAGGGTAGCGTATGCAAACCATGGTGGTTTGTGTGTAGTTACAAGTTTGGCTGTAAAGACATCATGTATCACTCCTTAAGCTTCTGAATTAGAGTTTAGCTTGCATTTTGTCTCCCTTACAATGTATAAATGTCAACAGTTTAAATTACATAAGGTTTTCTCATGTTAATCTGAATTTCTGAAGGATGTTGATTCCTACATCCATCGTTCTGGACGTACGGGTCGAGCTGGCCGGACCGGGATCTGCATTTGTTTATTTCAGAGAAGAGAAGAAGATCTTCTGAAACAAGTTGAGCACAAAGCGGTGAGTTGTACCTCAGACCTCTGCTTAATGACATTACTCAGCTGCTGAAAAGACTTTGCCACTCTTAGACTTTGTAACCATGGGCTGCTTATGACTCCTATGTGGGACTCATGTCCTGTAGTCCAGTAGGCCAAAAATGTTGATATTTGGTAAGCGTTTGTAAATGCTTTTGTATCACCCTGTTCTAGTGTCTCATGAGTTTCCCCGTGTTGGCAGTACTCTGCTGCTCTCAGCAGGCAGACTGTGACAAGAACGCACAAAGGAGACCATGCCTTTCGTTACGATGTGCATGTAAATTGATGTAAAGTAGCTCCAGATTAACAAAGGCAGGAACTTAAAGAAAAGCTTTATTCTAGCTTTCGAAGTCATTAAATTAAGTAAGGACTGTGGTGATGTTTGAAACAGTAAGCGACTAGAGGTTACAGTAATGTAACATAGGTAGAGTGGAGTTGTAGAGTGCTGAAAACACCTTCAACTGCAATTTGTTTTCTCAATTTCAGGGGATTACATTTAAGCGTGTAGGTGTTCCGTCTGCTACAGATGTAATTAAAGCTTCAAGTAATAATGCCAAAAAGTAAGTTTATTTGCCTGTTCTTGAAAGATGTCTAGAGATCTTACCAGCAACAATGCTGTTAATGCAAAGCTTTAAGGGATCAGGCCTGTATGTGTCTTTGCCTATGTTGTAAAAGTCAGCTGGTTTGCATGTAGATGCTGACTTGTTTTCATAAGATGATATCAGTAAACCTCTGTGTGCTTGAACATAGACCTTTTCATAGAACATAATCTCTAAGTTCTTGCAGAAATTAACCTCTGTTTATATCATCAGAAATCAGTAGCAGAACAGGGAATTACTGTCATGCAGGGAAACTAATTTTGTTTGCTCAGATGATACAGTAGCAGTGTGTAAAGAGCAATACTTAGTATAATAAGGAGGAACTCTGCAGTAGTGGGGGTGTTGTAGCCCTGTCCTGTGTTTCTTTGTAACTTTTTATTCTCAAAGGTTGTAGTTTTTTATTCCGTGCACCTCTCTTTACATTTGCTGCCCCATTGGTGGAAATTGCATTGGCAGAGGTTATTATAATTAGTGAGGATTTGACCAGTGTAGAGGAGATCATGGGCATGGTGTTGGGTTTGCCACGTACTGAAAAGTGGTGGGAAGTGCTGGTGTACCAAAAATAGCATTAGAGAAGTGGCTGTTCTCAGTTTCCCAGCTTGTTTTCACTGCCTTTCTCAGAAATAACTAGTTTAATCACCTTAGCACTGAGAGCAAGAAGTACCTTGCCCCAACCCAGTAGTGGCATTGTAGTGGTTTGCTTCTCTTCCTTGTGAAGTAGAAGCAAGGGATTCTTGGGTTTGCTGGCAACACTTTCTTGTGGATTCTTGGGTATGGTCTTAAGAAAGCTGGTATTTTAGAGCCTTCCCTTGATGTTTTTATCAATGGTTTAAAATGTGCCACGTTGTACATCCTCAGTTTTGAACACATATTTCAAGGGGCTTGGCTTTAATGAGCAGAGGAGATGGATATTTGGCATCCTGAAGTTGTTGAGTTAAATGAGTGGTAGTGAAGCATGAGCATGATAGCCCAGGCTTTTAGAGATAATTTGCTAATCTTGAAATCTGTCTGAAGTCTATGTTTAAACATGACTGCACTTCACAGGGGCCTTTGCTGATTTCTTAAACTTCTGTTGTCGCCATGTAGGTTGTTGGAGGCCATTCCTTCTTCTGCAGTAGACTACTTCAGAAAATCTGCTCAGGAGCTCATAGATGAAAAAGGGGCAGTTGCTGCCCTGGCTGCAGCTCTAGCCCATATTTCTGGGGCATCTTACATACAGCAGCGCTCCTTACTCAACTCGACTGTGGTAAATAACATTATACCTGTGTTAACAAGAATGGATAAATGAATTACTTGCGTCCAATCCAAGTGTGGCTCAGGTTCTTTCAGTAGGGTTTCTGAATAGCTGTTATCCCCAGCTTCTGTTTTGTTGCTCATTCCTTAACTGCAATCAGCTCCTACTGATGCTCTGCAGGAAACCAGAGAAACTCACAGTGAGTTAGTAAATTTTCTTGAAATGAGAGTCAAAGGAATTTCTCCAGAGATCTAAGTGACAGGAGACTGTGATGCTGTAAGAGAGTTCAACTAATGACATTTTATGAACCAATAGATTGTTTTGTGCTATTGTAGTTTTCCCTTCCCAGGAAGCTGGGAAATGTAAAATTTCTGTAACATTTCAAGTAAGCCTAGTGTGTGATTACCTGATTTTAGAGTGATCTTGACAGAAGTACATACCTTCCTTTTTCTGATGCGTTTGGGGAGAACTTGCCCAGTTTGTTGCGTGGTGACAGAGTTTTGGAAATAGCATATGACTGGACTGTGCTTCTTGTATCAGTCTGGGGTTTTTTTTACCCTTTTTCTAGCGGTAACTTTCTGTATGTATTGAATAAATGTGTCTCTGCTTCTGTCTAAATACAGAAATGCTATTGGCTTTTATATCAATGGGAAATCCTAGATTAAATGGGTACCTTCAGCTTCATAGGAGGCTTTAGTTGCTTTACTTGTGGGAAGCTGATTTCTTAGGATTAAATACTACATTACAGTAAAAAGTTATTGCATAGTTCATTAGTTAGGGAGTTACAGGCTGTCCAGTCAAGTTTAGTCTGGTAAACGTTTTTCTCTGTCTGTTTCCTGAAGGGCTTTGTGACCATGGTGTTAAAATGTTCAATAGAAATGCGTACCATGAGCTATGCCTGGCGAGGACTGAAAGAGCAGCTTGGTGAGGAAGTAGATGCCAAAGTATCTGCAATGCGTTTCCTCAAGGGGAAGACGGTAAGACGGCCCATCCTTGGGGAAGGAGGGGGGTGGGGGGGCGTGTGTGCGTGCGCACATATCACCAGGTTTTGCAGTGGTTGAGGCAGAAGTTCTGAAGTCGCAGTATAGAAGTGTTGATACCTCACTCTAGCCCTACTTAATCTCATTTCTCAGAAAATGGTAACCTATTGTGAGGACTTCTGAAACAGCTGTTTATATATACACTATTAAAAAAAAAAGAAAGCAATGGGTGGAGCTAGTTGAGTGTTTTTAAAGACGCTTATTTGAATGGAAACATACCTTCTAAATGATAACACAGGAATTCTCTCCTAAAAAAAAAAAAGCATGAGAAATATGTATATAGTGGGAGTGGTTGGTGTGACATATATTGTTTTGTTGTAGTGCCAACACTATATATATACCACTGCATTGAAAAGACAGCTGTAGAGTGGGGCAGTGACTGACTGCCTGACCTGAGCAGTACAGCATTCACCTGACTGTCAGCCTGGCTCCTGACATGCCTCCTGTGCAAGTGTGTTCTCAGAGCGCTGGTGGTGCCAGGTGATGCCTGCCTTAGTCTTAAATGGTCAGGCTGATGGCAGGCAATGCTGCTGTCAGCACAGAGCATTTGGCATCTGCTTTTTGTTTTGCGCTTTTGTGTTTTAGCTGATTTTTTTTTTTCTACAGCTGATAAAAAGCTTCCCCCAACAGACCCTGCTTTCTGTTATTTCTGGTTTGTACAGTTAGCCTGTATGAGCAGTTGTAGGTGCTGCCTGTTGGGAGTTGTGTCTCTATTCCTGAGTATGCCTTTGGAAAGCAAATGCCTCTCTCTTTTTCTGTTTCAGGGGGTGTGCTTTGATATCCCCGTTGGTGAACTGAGTAACATACAGGTATGTTTTTTGTAGCCAGAATTGGCTTTGGAACCTGGTAATTTGAAATACGGTGATTGCCATATATAGGATTGAATATAGGGTGGTTTGGGAGGACAAAGTTTGTGCTTTAAGAAGGACATTGCATAGACAACACAGTCGTTAGAAAGAGTGCAGCACGGTTGTGTAGAAAATACCCTGTCATGCCTCATTGTCATTTCAGTTCTCACTATATTACCTGATTTTGTTAAACAAAATCCTATGTTCTTTGTCTGCTCTGGGTTTTGACCCCTCCAGTGTATTTGAGAGTTAACCAGTTTTCTCACTTCGCTCCGTGTCACTTTGTCATCGTTCATGCTTTGTCACAGGACTGTTGAGTTGTCTCCCAAGAGGGGTCTGAGGACCTATTTTGGCGAGGGTGGGATTGATCTGGAAATGTCTCTGCATTCAGTGTTGCTTTTAATGATGTAAGGTCCCTTCGACACGCCTGCAGGCGCATGGAGTCTCATTCCGTTGGCCTTGTTTCAGGAACAGTGGACGGACACCAGGCGCTGGCAGCTGTCCATGGCAAAGGAATTGCCAGAGCTGGAAGAGTACCCCCAGGAGGCGGGACGAGGGTTCTCCAGGTTTGGAAGCGGGAGGCAAGGTGATGGCGGCTTCAAGAGAAACAACTGGGTTAAGAATGGAAACCGGGGACGTGATTTTAACAGGTCGCTTGATTGACCACTGGTGCAGACATGGGACTGAGCTGGTTTTTATCAAAAAGTAAAAGCCTGTTAGACGTTCCTCTTTGTCTTTATTCCTTGATAAAGCGGCCTGTCTTTGAGGCTGGCTAAAAAGCCTAATGGCTGAAATGACTGGGTTTTTTGGAAGAAAGTTCTGTTTGCCGAGCACACTGGCTGCTGCCGTTTTCCTGCTGTTAAACGCTGTGTGGGTCGAGAGGT